GTAACACAAATGACCCACTGTGTACTTGATATTCATTTAATCGAAAGGAATTCTAGGTATATGATTATATGAACATAATACTAGATATAGTTTGTTATATATTAAAAAGCAGAGAAAGTTTGTTGATTTGTATGGCGATATTGGAAAACTTACAAATAAGTCACAAAACCTTATTGCGGTATAATATCGATATCTATAAATATTAAGCAAGACATACTTAAGGACCTAATGGATTTGTAGGATACCAATTTAAAATAACCTTCAATAGACAGCAATGAGTAGTATTGTTTTTTTATTTATATTATATATCTTTAAAAACAGTTTATAAGATTTGTGTATACTATTACACAGATGAGGAAAAAAGGCTGCCACCAACGACTTAAACAATTACTATTAAGAGAAACAGGTGGTACAGGAGCGTAAAGCAAGAAAAAACCTGGGATGTGTGGTCTGCAGTTATTGTACAAGGACAGCTAGTACAATATCCCAAAGGTCAGGAAAACAAAAAAGAAGAATGCTGTTGAAAATAAAAATTAATATCACTTCCAACAAAACTACTTAAAAAAATATGATTTCATATTGTTAAAAAATTATAAAAATTTAGTCAGTTATCCAAATATATGGATATTTTGACAACTGTTAGGTATTAAATGTATTTACTTTTTAATAAAATTAATTAACTTTACCTTTGTATTATACTTTGGGTTATATTTCCATGACATATAATATTAATTTTCTTTCTGAAATTAAGTTATTAAATTCTTTGTTCGTGATACTTCCTAAAAAAAAAATTGAAAAAATAAGAATAAAATATTATTGCAGCATATTTTATTAAAGTCTAGAACAACAGTTTAAAAACAATGTACGGGCAACTAAATTAAATAGATACATAAATAAACACCACTGCAGATGAATATTTAGTGGTATACGATATATATACTACGAATTCAGAAATTGATTTTATTAAAAATTTGATTCTTGAGTTCTAAATATACACGCTATTAGACCCTTTCTAAATTTCACTGCATTTTTTTATATATGGTAGTGCTTAATCTTTTTTAATAGTGCTTAATACAAAATATTATGAATCATTTGTTTGTTATATATGTTAAGAGTTTACGACTGCATCAATATTAAGGCATAAATATTAAATATTTTTATATTAATTTAATTAATTACTTACATATATGAGTTCAATAAAACAATGTTTAAAACTTTTTAAAATAAAATTCTATCAAATTTAGAAATATCTGAAGAAAATCATGTTTTATTCTCCACAAATGCTATATAAATCATTTATATATTAATATATATAATGAATAAAATTATTAATAGAATTTTAAGAATAATGTTTTACTGTATCACAACAATATTAATATTCTAAATATTGAAAAGAAAAAGATTATTATCCTGATCACTTAGAGTTGATTAAATATGTGAAGTATATATATTATATTCAATTTTAGTATAAATATTTTTAATTTATTTTATTTTATATAATTTTATTAAATTTGGTTTCATTTGATTTAATTAATTTAGTTTAATATAATTTAATTTTATGTAATCTTATTTAATTTTGTTGATTCTTATTAAATTTTATTTAATTTAGTTTAATTTAACTTTATTTAATTTAATTTAATTTTATTTAAAGTAATCTTATTTAACTTCTGTGGAACTTATTAAATTTTAATTAATTTAGTTTTATTTTTTTTTTATTGCTTACTATGTATTATTTTATTTTATTTAAATTTACTTTATTAAAATTTGTTTTATTTGATTTAATATTAATGAATATTATATTATTAACATATTAACTTTATTTTATTTTCTTCTTTGTATTTCATTTTATATAATTTTTGTTAATTTTATTCAAATTTGGTTTATTTGAATTTATTTAGTTTTATTTAGTTTTATTTAGTTTCATTTAATTTTATCCAATTTTATTTAATATTATTTTTATGTTATTTAATTTTGTTTTATTTTAATTTGATTTACAACTTTTATCTATTTTCACTTTATTCATTTATTCATTCTATTTTTTATCATATATGCAATTTTATTTATATAATTTAATTTTATTTCATATAGTTATATATTTTTTTATTTAACTTAATTTTATTTTGTTTTATTTTATTTTATTTAATTTTATGTTAATTTTTATATATATAGTTTTTAATATTTATAATTTTATTTTAATTTATTGTATTTTGTCAAATTTTATTTAATTTTAATTAATTTTGTTTACCTTTATTTAATTCTATTTAATTTCATTTTATTTTATTTAGTTTTTATTTTATTTTATGTTTTATGTTATATTATTTAAATTTACTTCAAATAAGTTAATATGATTTTTTTATATTTAATTTCTTTTATTTTTAATTTTTACAAATTCAAAAAATAAAAACACAACATTTATTATTCTGTTATTATAATAAAAACTATTACTAAACTATTACCACAGTTTGTTTAAGTAAGGTTATATAAATTATATATTAAATAATTAATATATATTCAATTTTTTAGGTATAGCTTAGTTAAAAACACATATTAAAATAATACCCAGCTTTAGGCTGAATTTTTCAAAATGTCCTATATCTTTAGCTACGTCTTCATGCAATAATGTATATCAAATTAACGCACTGGTTGAAGTATTTGTAAAATGCATCAATCAGTTGGGAGGATCTAGTCTACTATTTTCACTATGTAGCTAATCAACCTAATTTGGTTGTCAAGTCACAGTAAAATTAAAGCAGTGTTGATAATATAGAACCTAACACACAATCTACTGTTCGCGTGAGGACTTCCAGATCCTCAAGCTGTTACTTATATTTTACACGACAATCAAACATCTATTATAGCCTTATGCTCTCTTATTAAGGAGCTGTAGCCGACATATATGCTTAGTCCCCTAATACAGAATAGTGGTTGAACAGCTAATGTATCTTTGAAAATTTATGTATTTTGTGCCTTTATTACTATTTTTATTTATTACTATTATTACAATAATCATTTAAGGTAACAGTAACGTGGTGACATAGCTTCCAGCCAGTTTTCGTTTAATAAATTTATTAAATAATTCTTATAATTAAAATATAGTTATTCGTAATTAATATATATGCATATTATATTATTCACAATCTGCTTATCTACTATTCTTATTCTCTTACGATCAATTAATAAGTGTCTAAATATGTGCTTGATGTAAGTATATCTGTTGATTAAAATAAAAAAAACTCTTGTTAAGAATTGATTATTTATTTTTTCACATACGAAAAGCATATATATAATTTCCATATATAATAAAATATGTTCAATTATAGATTTGTTCAACAGCCACCTTTAGAAGCAACAATTTTATTTTGAGATAAAATTTACTTGTTTCAAAGTACATAATTTGAATGGAAAATAAAAGTTGTGGACTTGCAGAATGGCAAGGTTCATTAATATGACGTCCATATAAGAGATCTCACACTATTTTTTAATCCTAAAACCAAAAGAATAATAATAATTTTCATCTAATTTGTTTTATCCTGAAATTTTGACTTGCAAGAAGGGAGTTCTGTCACTGCATTCGAATATTAAAAACAAAGAAATAATATTTCCATTGTTCCAAAAATATAATATCATGACATATCCTGAAATTTCGTAATCGTGTAAAAAGAGATCTTTTCGTATTTCTTTTTACTTTTTACGTATATTTTAAAAAATCGTTTCGCTTTGCATTTGCATCAGTGAAATGATAACCTTTAGCTTAATGCACCTATAATTTAAACGGAAAATCGCCCAGATGCTACAAAAAATTAACTTTAAGACTTATAATTTTCATAAACGGCAGCAGTTCGAACAGAAATCAGAAGTAAAAACTGAAACACATGTTATATAAGAAAAATTGCCGCAACAACAACGGTACCGTTTCAGTAATAACAAAATGCCACAGAAAGTACTGCATCAAAGATGATCATGTTGGCAATGATGGCAATGATCACAACTAGCAAAAGTGCCAACAGAGTAAGTGGAAAAAATATCCACTATATGCGGGTATGAACTGTGCAATATTCAGCTTGGATGATGACTCTGATGCATGACGAAGATGTTGCAGATGCTGAAGAAAATGGAAATGATACAGAAAAGCATAATCATAGCACATAAATGAAGATCATGCAGTAAATGATCTTCATAATGATATTAATGTGTAATTGTTTTTGTAATGCAATAAAGAAGTCCCAACTGGACTTAAAAAAAATACCATTGAGACAATATTCATGCAGAAAAAAAAAAACAAAATGTTTTATACATTTATACATATAAATAAATAAATAAATAAATAAATAAATATATGTTTTTGTATTCATATTTATATTTAGAGTTAAAGTTAAAGTTAAGCAAATTAAAAGCAAAAGATGAAGCTACAATATATTTGCATCTAAAGTTGGAGTTTCAACTGAGAGTAGTAAATTTATATTAATATAACGTATTCAAATTGTTGAGAGTTGAACCATTGAAACTGAAAGTGATCGTACACGATCCACAACAACAACACCATCGCCATTGCCTCTGTAAAGCAACAGCAACAGCAACAGTAACAGTCACAGCAAATACAAGTGTGGCAAACCAGTGAGCTGAAGATACAACCAAGTCTCAATCCAAAACACCGAAAATCATAAAAAAATTACAAATAATAAAAAACAAAAATAAACACTGAAAAATACACTGAAAAAAAATTAACTGAGGTACTCCACGCACGACTCTATGAGTATTTGGCAGTTAAATTGACGGTTTTTACTTTTGCTTCGGCGCTCGAACCTCGCTTACTAGTATAAAAGAAACTGCAACAATTGCTGATCCACACAGAAAGACGTTCCGCGTTGATCAGTGAATTTGGTTGAGTGCGTCCAAGCAACGTAACAGTAACAGTAACAGATACAGATACAGATACAATAAAATCCTCGTAGAGTTTGCCAAAAATTAAATAAGTTCTCCTTTAACAAAACATAAACAAAATGAAGCGTTTTTGTGCGGTATGTGTGTTAATGCAAATGCATAAATATTAAAATATACACAAATATATAAATATATATATAATATCAGAAAATATGTGACTTTAGTGCTAAAAAATACAAAATCCAAAAGTATTTAAAAAGGACATGCATTGAAAGCAACTTGCTATATATATTAAATTTATCTATAAAGTGTCTTTAAAAAAATTTATTCACAAATCTTCTTCTTTTCTTCTTCATATATTTTTCTAACATTCTAAAAAAACAAAAAAAAAATGAAAAAAAAATATGAAAAAAATAGGTTTTATTTGTTTTGGCTGCAGTTGGTATGGCTGCTGCACGTCCTGAGCCACCACGTGATAGTTATAGCGCACCACCAAGCAGCTATGCACCACCATCGCCTAGCGGCAGCTATGGAGCGCCAGCACCACAATATGGACCACCACAACAGCCACCAGTGGTGCACAAGCACGTCTACGTACATGTGCCACCACCAGAGCCAGAATATCAAGCACCCAGGTGAGATAGTCTTATGTTCTATGCCAACCATAAACGCAAAACAATGTGTTTTATGCATATAAGTGAATGTGACTTAAATGAGTCTAAGTGCGAATAAATCCAAAAAAGGACATATTTATAAAGTGTGAGGAAATCTGAAAGGATATAAAAGTGAAATAGTGCCAACATTGATAAAGATATAAATTTTGTGCGTCTACCGAGTGTGGAAACTGTAGAACTGAGACTTAACTCTATGTACTTTGTATGAATTTAAGTGTATTGGAATGGTAATTCATCCCAATATATTTCTGCGCTGTAGACCAGTGAAAGTGATTATTTTGCTATGCAAAAACTTTAATATCTAATGATATGCATAATATATGCAAATATCTATGACATTACGTTGACACTAATATTATAGACCTATCACTTGTAACGCACAGACAGAAGATTTATATGATAATTTGTAATCTACTAAGACTTTAACTTTGTTGAGGAGTATTTAAAATTTAAAGTCATTTAGTGTGACTTTTAAAAGTGGTTTCAATGAAATTTATTTGACATTAAAGACGGTCTTAAAGTAATATATTTCTATATTATGTTTTTTATACCAATTGAAAATTTATAAAATATTATTGCCATATATTTGGCCTCATAGACAATTACAAATTTTTGCAAGTTAAGAAAGATATTAATTATTTAAAAAAAACAATGAATAATGAAATGTTTGGATATATACAATTAAAGTTAGTTCATAAATAATATTGTGTACTTCCCTTACTTCCTTCCTTAGTTACTTTATTTATTTCGAACTTTTGAATGGGGGTATTTACTTTAGGTTCGGTAACTTAGTATTCGACGGAAATATCCTGTCATTTTTTGGCTCATAAACATATTACAGAATATTACAGTAATATATTATGATATAACATATATTAGTTTCATATAAAATATATATATAAAATGATATATTATTTACTGATTTTAGAACAAACTGATTAATTTTAAGAAATGTGTTTTATTTGCACCGATATTTTGACTATAGTCTATAGTCACCTTAAGGTTGCTGATATAAATAAAATGCGGTTATTTAAAATAATTAAATAATAATCAAGTTTTTATAAAATAGTTAAATATGTTATAATATTGTAATAATATATTAACACATAATTTAGACTTAAAGAATTTAGTTTCAACATATATAGAACTTAACATATTCTACACACATTTTGCTCCATTTCAAGACTATTACTCTGAGTAGTTCATACGTTCTTAGTTTAAATTTTCAAAATACCTACTCTTATATGAACTTTCATTTTTTTGGAGAAATATATCCAAAAGAGCCCATATCTTCAAGAGCCCATATATTAAAATATTAAAAATTATATGAATAATTTATGTAGAAATACTTATCCAGTAAGAAATTTAATTTTTTCATATATACCTAGATGTGGGGCATCAACAAACTGCAAGTATTTATTAGTTTAATAATAGGGTAATATATTTCTGTCACATCTTAGTATTTTTAATCACTTAATGAGTACATTTAATTAATTCTGCAGCAATATATATCAGCAATACTTCTTAAATTTAATAATTATTTTTTAATTATATTAATTGTAAAATTTAATTTCTCATATTTACAGTTGATATCTTTATAGTGCTTCGTAGTACAGTGAGCGTGTCCCTAAAACTGCTCAATGGGCTCATATAGAGTCCTTTCGGTAGTTATTGCCTAATACTGCGTACACATTTACAATTATTGAACTTGATTAGAACATTTTTTTAAAAACTTGTCTCAAGTGTCAATTATAAAATATTTTTAAAGTGCAGTGTTTACATTTCTATTTCATTATAGTATTGATTACCAGCCACCACATAAGAACTCTGAGTTCACATTAATACTGTTGGCACAAACCGTTAGACTTGATGAGGTTACGCTGGTAATTGCATTCTAGTACTCTTGAGTGCAAGAAAATCATAACTATCCAATTTTTTCCTCGCGCAGACTTATCATCTAATTAGAGCTATTGTGAGGTAATCCACTATTTGCATTTCGGAAAACGAAATATCTGAAATTGTCATCACACTGTCTTCATATCTAAAGATAAAATATATGTAATCCTCTCCACACTGTTTACATATCAGAAGATAAAATATCTGAAATTGTTCCTGAACTGTGTCTCCATATCTGAGGACAAGTTATATATAATAGTCACCAACCAGACTGTCTTCATATCCGCTCAGAATAACAATAATAGATTTTTTTTTGCGATTTTTACAAAAAATCTATTTGATTGTTTAACTTTAAAAATGACTATAAAAGAAATGCTTTTGCTCAAATAAGTTTTTATCATAAATTGAATTAAAAAAAAAATAGTAAAATTTGTTAATATTATAATCACATAATTTGGTGGATATTTTACAACCCGTAATTTTGTGTACTCAAGTATACTATGTTAAATATTTGGGTTACCACTTAATGACTTCCATTACTTGGTTGTAATAGGGTTAATAGTATACTGGAAGGCTAAACATATAAAAATTTATATTTCAATATGTTATTGAGCAAATGTTTTACCAGTAAAAACTATTTACATAGCTTTTCAAAGTGCTACCAAAGGAAATTACAAAACACCCAGCAATTTTCAACGCTTTAACATTGTCACAATTGCGTAAAGCAAAATTATAGTCGCATTAAACGTCTCTTAATTATTTTTAATAACGTTTTAAAAATATTTTTATTGATTTCTGAAGTATCGGATTAAATGAATTAACCTCAAATACAAAGCCACTAAGAAAATGAATGCAATGAAGTGCATTTTCTTGCAAAATATTAATTTTGTCGGCCCAAAGAAATAGTTGAATTCGATCGCGAGTTCCTCAATCCTCAAAAACTTGCAACAATGTGCTCATAACTGTAATGAAAAACTCCATTAGCCGCATGCCGGCTCCAATTAATAACAACAACATTGGACGCAAGTCTTGAGCTGAAATTATTTGCGATTTAACACAACCGAAAACACGGCTTAATGCCAGCAATTGTCTCTACTGACCAAGAGCAAAGCAGAAAACACTGAAAAAATTTTATAAATAATGTTGAATATCGTAAAAACTTGGCATGAATGAAAACACACAATTCCGGTAATAAACAACATCAAGAAAAAAAAAACGACCCACAAGCAAAAATAAAATTCATTCATCATAAACCATTTGAAGTGACGATTTGTGTTTTACACTTATTTAAACTTGGCTTAAACGTTCAGTTTCGGGCGATTCTCCATGTGCCATTCCAAGCGCTTGTCATGCTTATGTGTTTTAAAGCGGTTGAGTGTTAATTTGATGGCTCAGAGTGCCAAACGATTTAAAAATATTTTGCCTTAACTTCTCAGCAACTGAATTGTTGATGCTTTTAATGTTGATATCAAAATTTTGAAAATATTTCATTAACATTATTCATTATTATTTTTGTATACTTCATCCATTTGTAGAAATAAATATTAATAATTTATTAGTCAATACGGAATGACGACTACATTTTAATAAATTTGAATATTGATTCAAGCCATTAATAAGGTTTGATGTTATATTAAGGAATCAAACCTGCTAAACAATCCTTCTGCAATTATTGCTACTTCTTACTGCCATTCTCTAGTAGCACACTCACAAAGTACTGAAATAATTTTTAACTCAATCGATCCATCTATGTCTTGGTCGTTAATCATATTTACGTGTTGACTTCTGCTTAGCCTCTTCTGCTGATTTTTTTCCTTAGGCATTCTAATTATATGACCCAGTTATGCAGTCTTTGTTTTTTTCGTAAAATATGATATTGTGTCTCTTACAATGAACTGGTCTAATTATAGCGTCTTCTATTTCTACCCCTCTCATATTCATAGAAGACGCTACATACAATAATATATATGTAAATTTAGCGTATAATATTAATAGAAACATTTTTCTCTAAATTATTGCTAGGGTGATTGTGCCAGTTTCATCACTACCACATGTGACTACCAGTTGCAGTGTTACATTACATATTCACATTTCAGTTTTTTAGGTAGAGTTTTTGAACATTATGTTCACGTTCATTTAGAATCATAAAAACTTGCATTAGTTGCTTGACTATTATTCACACATGGCTATGATCAAGTATAACCTTTTATATTTCTATCTTAGTCTCTCTAGACAGGGTTCTTGAATACAGGGTTCTTTTAAAACCACAAAAACATGCATTAGTTGCTGCAATCCTATCCTCTATGGTCGCTATGATCAAGTATAATCTTATATATTTCGATCTTAGTCTTTCTAGATAGGGTTTTTGAATATAAGGTTCTTTTAAAACTATAAAAACTTGTATTTGCTGCTTGAGTCTATGTACGCTATGATTGAGCATAACCTCTTTTATTTGCACCTTAATCTTTTTAATCAGGATTTTTGAACATGAGATTCCTTTAAAAGCCAAATAACTTGCATTAGTTGCTGGAATACTATCCTTTATGGCTGCTATGATCAAGTATAATCTTTTATATTCCGATCTTTGTCTTTATAGATAGGTTTCTTGAACATACACTATCCTCTATGGCCGCTATGATCGAGTTCAACGTTATATACTTCGATCTTAGTCTTTATAGACAGGATTCTTGAAATAAAGTCCTTTTAAAACCATAAAAACTTGTATTAGTTGTTTGAATACTATTATCTATGAACGCTCTGCTTGAGTGTAACCTTATATATTATCATCTCAATCTTTTCAGATAAGATTTTTGAGCATAAGATTCTTTTAAAATTATAAAATTCTGCATTAGTTGTTTAAATTCTATCCTTAATGATCGTAATTTTATTCATGCTACCTACATCTTCATATAATATATATAAATCTTTCTGGTTATAGCACATCAGTGACTGACTCATGCCAATAATAAAACGTTTATTATCTCTTAATATATTAATTGCAAACACTTATAATGTGCTGTATTAAAAAAGCATTATAATTTTAAATGCATTCCCATTAGGCTGTTATTTTATTTGATAGTTACAATAGTTACTTTCTATGTTAAAATTACATTCAAATTGTAGTGCCTAGTGAATAATAGTTACAGCATCTCTGCAATCATCTTCAATCATAATGTGCAGTAATAAATTTTAACAGCCATTACGATTTAACCTACCAAAACACCTTCCTTTAAATTTTATATTACTCTTTACATAATTTTATAACATTTTACAATCGCTAACAGTAACTGCTGCTGTTGTTGTTGATTACAGATTTGTTGCCATACGGTAGCATCACATTCTGCACGCCACTAATAATCGCTGCTATGAAATATTTATGCTTACAGCAGCAGCAGCAGCAACAACAATAATAACAACAAAACCAAAATAGCCAAAATTATTTCATTGCAACAACAATGAATGAAAATTACTTCTGCCATTATATCAATTATATTGTAAAAACAAAAACAAACAAACACAGAAACAAAAATGTGGTGTTGATAGTGCAAAAACAATGCTAATAAGTTTTTGTTTGCATTTCTGTTAACATGAAATAGTCATGTTAAAATAGAGACGTCATCTTGTGATATATGATGTGGTGAACTCTCGGAATCTTTTATATGTGTAGTTTACATAATATCGTTTTAAGTGATTGTCTTTATTTAAATGCGGAAAATTTATTGCATATTGAAAAAAAAATATATTAAAAAAAATTTTACAAAAATGAAAATTTTATGCATAAAATGTTTAAGTGAAACATTTCCTTATTAAAAAATAATTTAATGTCATATAACAGAATAAAGCTCACATATACTACTAATATATGTACCATATATTGCAATATAATATGTACGGTACTTTAATCATTATGGGAGTAAAATTGTCTAAAAGTTAAAATAATTACAGAAAGTCTTCACTAATTTATTTAAATATTAAAATAAAATTCAAATCAGTTTTACTAACTGCTTTCCATCTAATTTGCTTAAATTAAAATATTTTATACGAGTATATTCAATTTAATATTCATGAAGCTTATGGCAAAATAATAGAGATTCATCTCACCATGTGTAAATATATAACTCATTATTTTTTTATATTAATTAATTTTTAAACTTGACGAAAAATAAAATAAAAACGTTTGTTAAATCTTTACTAATCACTTCAATACAATCCACTAGAAAACTCAACAATTAAATCTTCAAACAAAATAATTTACAACCCTTTAAAAAATTAATTTCAAATTATGCTTCATATTGAGATCAGATAAAGCATTATAAGATCCGAGAATGGTATCTTCACATAAATAAATTCATAACCCAATGAAAAATCAAGCTCAATTAATACTTTATATCAATTACTATTGGTACTCAGCGCTACTAGACAGAACTAGACTTATTCATAAATGTTTAACAAGCAATACGTATGATTTCTATATTTTAAGAAAATATGTATACTATTTATATAAAACACAAAAAAATAAAGGCACTCCTTTGGGAGTGCCTTTCTATGGGATTCCCTACTAATACAATCATATTTTTGAAAACGCATGGCACACACACAAAACATAATTAGAAAGTCATTTTATACATATTATATTATATTATAATATATTATTATATTATTATATTAATGTTATATGAATCAGATGTTAATATTATAATTCGATAATAAAAAATAGTACAAAAATATAATAATAGTGTAATAAACTATTAATTTGAGCTTTGTTAGTTTAAAATAAATAAAGATATTGTTTGTGTGTCATAGTACAGATGAGATATAATATGGTTGATTGATTTCAATCAAAATCCAATTGAAATTAAGAAATTTATCTCAAATATGTCATATACAATTACTATATAAACCATTTATTTCCACCTTTTTTTCATATCAACAAATTTATATAATAAAAATATTTCAGTTCAAGAGATCCTTATACGAGTAATCCATTAATTAAATGAAATCTATCGCTTTAACAAACAAACTGGTTCAAAATATAGTAGTTTTTATGAATTCTTTCTCTTTAAATGATTTAACTAATAGACTTAAAAAAATTGTAGTAGTTCTTATTAGTTCCCTCTTTATTTCAATCACTTGCAAATAAGAACTATAAGTATAATTTTTTTATTGTCAAATTTTTTTGATATATTTAAGGTATTTCAAAAATTTCAAATCATGTTTAAAAAAAAAAGAAACCTCCATCTGCACAAAATAGTTAACTGAACAGTATTAACATATGGTGCTGATTTAAGGACCTAAGCAGATTTCATAAAAGGATAGTAGTAAGGATAATAGATTAGTTTTTTTTGCCCTAGATTCATGCAACAATATAAGTACGTATTTAATAACGTAAGCTTCACTCTCAATATCACGGCCGGTGTGGTCTTGTGCGACTGTTTTCTGTTCTCAAAGCTAAGATTGCCATTTTGGGGAAAGCATTTCGTCCCTATTGGTGTTAGATTGCCGAACATTTTGGGGTTATCACTCGGTGTTACACTGAACAGAATTTGGTGGCAAGATTTCTATGTTCCAATGAAAATATATGTTATTTTTGAAACTTGCGATAGTATGCAAAAATTCTGCTAGATTTTAGTGAGTATAAATATAGACCTTACTTTCATTTTTAATTATTTAAATACAATGGATTAAACTATAATGCAAGTGTTTACACAAGAAGCTTATATTGTTTGCTAGTAATTTGTTGAAAAGTAAAAGTGTATATATATTATGTATACCTTCAAATATATATATTATGACAAAGTATACAATTGTTTGTCATTTGCACTGAACGTTTTACGTCTCCGAGGTATTAAGCATTTATTTGCTTAAATGCATGCAATTGTTTTGTTTAATAAAATAATCTTAGCGATGAGTAAGGAAAAATCAAGGTAGAAATACATGTGAGCATGTCTTATATTGTTTTACATAAAGTTTAGTAAATTTTATAACGAATTTGAAATTGTTAATATAAACAACGTTATTATACTAATTAACGCACACCAAGATACATTAGCAACGTTCATGAGCAGTATCTAATAACATATTTTACTGGCATATCTTGCATTTCCATTGCAGATACATAATCGTCAGAAATTTGAACCATTATGAAAATTCAACAATAGGTGAAATTATAGTAAAAGAGTTGCACTAAATACATGTGGAAATGGTACAATGGGTAAACGCGCATCTGCCATAAATTTTCATGCTGAAAAAGCGGTAGATGAGCGCCAAACCATGACTTAAACGTTACCTAAGCAAGCTAAGACAAGATAATTATTTTATGTATTAAGCATGATAAAGCTATAATAATTAAACCATTTTTTGCTATTTTCTATATAATAATTTTTTGTGTTTTTTTTTTTTTTTTGATAAACAAATTTTCTTTTAAGACAAATACACAACGGGTTTCCTTTAATAATTACATTAAATAACAAAGTTTAGCGAAAATGTTTAAAGTATCTGTTCAAAATATTATTACCGTGATATAAGTACTTATTATTTATACATACATTATTCAATAAAATTTTTACATAATTACATTGCATATTTGTCATGCTGACAAATGAGCCCGCCAAAGAGCCCACCTCATTAAAAGCCAAAGACTGTATGAAGTAACTTTAATTAAATCTGCATTTGCATATAATATATTTAAGAATTAGTTACCTCTATAGTCTAGGTTGATACAAAATATACTGACATGCTGAATATTCATATACTTAAAAAATATATAATTTAATATAATATTTTAAAATTAAAATAGACATCCACTTACATTGTTATTTCTTTAAGAAGGTACAGTTCTCATGCTGAAGTACGTAATCTTGGTCAGGTATTAGCACAGAAAAGAATACCTAAGATTAAAGTAACATATCCACATTAGCAATTTATTTGTGCAAAAAGTTCATTAATCATTCCGCATTCAAGTAAAAACTTAATTACAATATACCAACTCCATCTAGTGAACTAAAAATCGCTACAAGGTTTCTTGTCAAGAAGTAAACCGAGTCAATATGTTAACAGCATCCGAAAGCAATAATTAAGTTTATGCTTCGTTTTTATTTGTTATTTTTTTTTAGTATGAAAAATTTTGTAAATTCTATGTCAAATAAATTCTACTAAAATAACTTATGTTCGTATATCTTCAAAACTTTCTGTTAATTTTAAAATAAATATTTAATTTCATATTTTTAGAAAACCAATAATTGTGCCACCAGCACAGAAGCACTACAAAATCGTCTTCATTAAAGCGCCATCACCTCCAGCACCAACTGCGCCTGTAATTCCACCATTGCCACAAACCGAAGAGAAGACTTTGGTCTACGTGTTAGTTAAGAAACCGGAAGAACAGCCCGATATTGTTATTCCCACACCAGCACCTACACAACCCAGCAAACCAGAAGTCTATTTCATTCGTTACAAAACACAAAAGGAAGAAACTGGCCCTTATCCAAACAGCATTGCACCAGCACCTTCTGGAGATTATGGCGCACCATCTGCTTCAGCACCATCAGCACCCAGTTCATCATACGGTGTACCCTCACATTAATCTGGTTACCAATCAAATTTAAACGAATAAGATTCCTAGGAACTGCATGTGACCCTAAACTCAAACCCAACTAAATGAATGAATATTGTACTTGTACTTTCAGCAAATAACTCTACTATATGTTAAGTGCCTATGTCTTTGGTTCCCAACACTATACTTTGTTCTTACTGTACTACAACTATCTCTACTGCTATTATTAATTCTATAACTATAATTAACTATTATTAATTATCATTAATTAGTTATAATCGAAAAACGAAAACGAAAAAACCATTAACGTGTGACAATTGAACGACCATCAAATCATCTATTTTTAATTAATTTAATTAAATGTAATTTGTTGTTTCTTTAGTGAGAAGTGCGACAGACGCATATTTTGGATCCTCTCAGTAGTTCTGAGCAGGGTCTGTGACTTCATAATCATTAAAAATCTGGCTGTTTGTTTCATAATAATAACACATAATACACATATACAATAATTAGTACTTTTTATAAAAACTTAATTTTAATTTTGTTAATGTATGCGTTATATATAAAGAATATCAACTTTTTGTTTGTTTTTAATTGTTTTTAATTTTGTTTTGTAATTTTTAAATAATTTTACTATAAAACACTTTTGTTTTTTATTGATTCATTTTAAGCAAATTTTGAAAAAAACATTAAGTTTTTGTAAGATGAAGGTTAAATGTACTTTTTAATATATAAGGATGTTAAAGGAGAAATTTTTTTATAAATAAAAGGTTAAAAAAAACAAAAGTAATTGTCTTTTAATTCATTTATAATTATTTTTTAATTTAAATAATATCAACATTATTATTTATTAATTTTTTTACAAAAATAATAATTAAATTATTTTAAACACCAGGAAAATATTATAACGTTAATATTAGTATTTACTATTTTTTTTTAATAAAAAAAAAGCAAATGAGTCCGCCTATGTTTAAGTAGGTGTGAATAAGAAGTAGGCTTGAGAATTATACCAATCCTAACTTACTGAATACCATCAGCTAAGAAACGCAATCTTCACAATCGTTTTTATATTAATATTATTATTTATTTAATTTTCTTGTACTAAAATGACAGTGAAAAATAATTTAAAGCGTACCCAAAAATTTTTAGGGAATACCAAAAAATCTACAATATTAGTATTGTTTATTTATTAATTTTTTTTTTAATAATATAACAATTTATTAAACTAACTATTGGGTAATTGGATATTTCTTTATTAACACAGTTTTTTAAAATAATTTAGTTTTTAAAAATATTTTTTTATTTATACCTCGACTCAGCTGACTCTGAGCTTCAAATTTGGTAGAGCACGAGTACTAGGAATAAGTACTTACAGTCACAAAAAAATTATTTCCGAATAATTAAATACAGGAATTACTTCCATGAACACTGATGAGAGGTATTGGGCAATACACAAAACAGCTGTATGGTCAGCCAAAAATTCAATTTATTAAAAGAATATAAAACTAATTTCTGTTGTTATAGTTCACTACTTTTCGAAAACATCTTTATAAAATACTAATGAAGTATATACTTAGGAATATCTAGAAAATGAAAATACATATTGAACTTAGCAGAAGAGCAGAGATCTTATGTCATTATTTAATTGTAATGTTTGTAACATATATTTATAACATAAATTTACAAAGAGGTTTTTCGAACAGTTGTGAAACTACAACAAAAATTTATTTTGTATTATTTTCTTATTCAATTGAATTTTTGGTTGTTTCGAGTATTGTCAAATACCCATCATCAGTGGTTTTGGAAGCAATTCTTGTATTTAATTATTCGTAAATAATTTCGTTGAGACTGTAAGTACCAGAAATCGAACGTTTGTAACACATATTTATTACATAAATTTATAAAATACTTAATTTAACTTTAATCATTCAAAAGTTAAGATAATAAATGAAATTAAAATATATGCGTATATCGAAAAATTCAAAACTAAATATAAACTCAACCCAAGCAGAATTAATTAGAGGTCTTATAATGACAAGATTTTCATTGATTTAAATTTTTAATTGAAAATGTTACGGTCGATATGGATTAAATTCTGAATTAAGTTGGAACTCAAATTCTGAAGCATTTGAATGAAAATTTCAGAAATTGATTATGAAGTATATAATTATGAAAAGTAGATGAAAGTACTTAGGAGTGAATGAAGACTGAAGTGTAATTATAATAAATATGTAACTGAACTATTGATTGCATGCAGTTTTTTTTTTTGAATTTTTTAAAACAATTGTAATTTTTAAAAATTTTAACTAACAACCACACTTATAATATTATAATTAGGAACCCGGTCTGTAGTACAACCCCTCTAGAATTTGAAACCAGAAGTAAAGAGGAGTAGCAGTAAAACTAAAACTTTCTCCTCGCAAAGTTCTAATTAAAAACTTTTTTCGCAATAAAATAAAAATGTGCCTAATAAAATTATGAACTCAAAGCTACGGAACACCTGAAAACCCATTTAGATGCCTACGCTCCCTTATTAGTGACTTTAAGGTTCGATAACCTTCTCAGCCCAACTTATTCACACCTACTTAAATATAAGCGAACTCATTTGCTTGGGCGCATACACACACAAACGCTGTGTAACTTCTTCACAGACATATTCGCACGCACACACACAAAAGTAACAACATTTTCACACACAACGCCCAGAGATGCTGAACAAAACAAAACAAAACAAAGCGAAACAAAACGAAACAAAGCGAAAAGAGTTAAAAGTGTTAATAGAAACAGTCCAAAAGAAGAACAAAATAACCACAAACAACATATTTTAATAGCGGAGAGAACGACACCAACAACAATAACATTAATAATGACACTTAACTCCACGGCAATGTGTGCCTTGATGGATTTGCTTTATGCAAAGAAGTTGAAGTCTGGATGTTAAAGGTGCGAACCTCTCTTGCTTTCTAACAGCGGCTGTTGGGCTGCTGAGTGAGTGTTAACGGCAGAAACGATTTCAAACAAAACAACCAACTAAAGTGAATGTTAAGTCAAGTGTTCCGAATGATGCAAATAGTGGGGCCGCGTTGGCTAAGCGATTTGTATACAAGGTAAGTTGTCAATACTTGAATTAGGAATTTTTGGATTTAAAATAAGTCCGGGTAGGGGAAAATCGCTAGTTTCGTTTTAAATTGCTTTTATTCCTTTCAGAAAAATAAAGGAGCAGAATAAAAGGCTTTGTTTTCCTTATGTGCCATTAACTAGAAATACACAGCTTGCACTGAAAGCGATAAAACTAATCTAAAACAAGCAAAGAGTTTATATGATTTTATATTACTGTTCACTCAAAATAGAGTGACTCCAAGTTAATACACCGCTAGAAACGTTTAACAAAAACTACTATAAGTGCTTTATAGTCACCGGATATTATCATATTGTATTTTAATTATTTATGTTGAAGCTGTTTGAGCCAGTGCACTTGGGAGTTTTTACTTTTTATTACCTCGAGATATCGTCAAAATCCCTCTTTATGCTTTGATTGTGTTATTGTTTATCATTTCATCTGACTAAACAATAATTGATCTCAGATCTGCATACCTCTCCGAGGAGCCTGCAATCATTCTGAGATTCGATAACGCGGTGTTGGTAAGTCTGTCAGTTTTTGCAAATAATATTAGTGCTCTCTCTTTTATATATTTTTTGATCGGATTAATCTTGAAATACCTGAGGATGTCACTCGTCATAATGTATCATGGTACCTTGAAAAGTCTTCTCAGAGCCTGGCTTTGTGCAATTTTTAGCTGGCGAATAATAGTGTTTAAAGCTTTGCTAAACGCTACACATCCATATAGAAGTGACGGACGAATTCTATTTTAAATTGAATAATAATTTGATACGTATCAATATATAGGTAAGTCGATGGCTGAGACCAGGACTATCCAGACCAGATAAGATCGCGGGCCAATACAAATCACTGAAAAGGTTGAAGAGCTGTAGAAATACCTAAATACATATGTTAATAATTTTTCCGAAGAATAATAAAAATATGGCGATAATGTTGAATCTAGTTTTATTAATTCTTCATTAATTTATATTTACAATTCAATCAATGCCAACATTATTAATATTAGTTGTTGCCACACAAAATATGTACATATTACATTTTTAATGTAATAACTTACGGCATTGGATACGAGTTTTTTGAACTAGTTATATAAAGAAATATGTATATATTAATGTCTTCGTAAATTAAGTCAGTTAACGTAAAGTGTAATACATTATTTAAAACGTTTTCATTTGTTTATTTGGGATACCATAAATATAAAATAATATAATGTTACTAAAATATATTTACTTACTTACACCGCTCTACTACGTGCGCGCCTTCTCCAGTCTCGTACATCAATTCCAGTTAGTGCTCCTTCAACTTGATCGCTCCACCGGAGACACGGTCTACCTCTACATCTTTCTCGCTGGAGCATGTTCATCTATTGCCACGACAAGATCAAGCCATCGAAGCCGTTGGATGTTAATTCGTTGAATTATATCAATGTTGTGATAAAGCTCGTACCGCTCGTGGTTCATTACTAAAATATAATGAAGAAAAATTTGCCGAATTGTGTTAGATTAGAAACATGTCGCGGGTCGCATAAAGATTAGCCGCATAAGGCCCGTGGACCGTGCTTTGAACATCCCTGATTTGGATGTTGCACGAGTCAGGAACAACTGATAAATTTGTTTAATATTCTCTTAATTTCCACAAAATTTCTTGGTTTTCAAAAAGATCTATTTATTTATTTTTTTTTTCTAAAACATCCATGAGTAGTACAATCTTAACTATTTGTTATTTTGTTACTATTGCTGAATTGCACTAAATAGGTATTAAGTAATACGTGTGCTGGTTTACTGAACCAGTGTTCAGCTGTCATAAAAAAGATTTATGAAATCTATTTTTCATTGAGGCAAAAGAATGAGAGTCGTCACATATATAAAGACATAAATATAAACATATATAGGCATTTACAGAGTAAATG